CAGGTTGATCTTTTCATTTTACTTTATGTCAAGGAGGGTCTGCAGACCCAGGCAGAGATGCTGGGTGGAGAAATGTGGTTATAAGACAAAGGGGTATGAAAGGAAGTGGTGTTAGCAGAGATGGGGGCAGGGAAGTAAGGTTCCCTTCTTGGGTAAAGGCCTAGGCCTCATTCCTGCCCCAGTGAGACAGAAGGGCTCATTATGATGTGGCCCTGGTATCTGGTATGCTGTGGGGTGGAACAGATTAGACTCCACCTGCTACTGGCACAAAATGGGGCAGGGCCAGCAGCAAGGAAGGCCAATTACCTTGGGAAGAACTTCAAAATGCTCACCTTTTACAAGCCCTGATTCCATTAATTCTCTGAATCTTCCAAGAAGTCCATAGAACAGGTGTGAGCTCAGGGTGAGGTATACAATTGCCTGCATTTAGACTGGGTAAGGAGTGCCTTAAGAGCAGACTTGAGCCGGAGCTTTCTTATTAAGCTTAATACGTGGGTGAGTTACTCTACAGAGTTTTAAAGAAGATGCAGGGAAGGGAGCAGAGACTTGAGGGGTAGAAAATTTGGGTTTATCTCTCCATTTAAGTGAATACCTTGGGCAGGCCATTTTCCTTTAGGCCTTGAAGGAAATTCCTGGTAACTATGGAACTATATGTACCAACTCAGTACTGTCTAACTTAAGACAAATCATGGCTGCTCACTAGTGTCATAGAAGCCTGTCATTCTCATCCACTGGCTTTCCCACATATGTGTGTGAGGCTGGAACTCAGGGTCTGGATGCTGTTCCTCAACTTTCTTGCTCAAGACTCTGCTCTTATCACTTGAACCACAGCTCAACTTTTTGCTCACTAATTGGAAATAATTGTCCCAAGAACTTTCCTGTCCAGGCTGGCTTTGAGCCATAATCCACAAATCTCTGTCTCCTAGATAGATAGAACTAAGGACATGAACCACCAGTGACCAGCTCACAGGTTGATTTTGATCCAGAGTGCATTAAAGATTGCTTAGGATCCTTCTTTTCTCATTTTGCAACCACAGTGGTTGAAAGCTACATTTTGACAACCTAGAGTGTTGGTGCAAGCTTGCAATTTGATTCTGGCCTCTGTCTCACTTACAAAAGAGGTCTTTAACAGAGGGAAGAAGGAAGAGGGAAATTCTTGTACTTAGAAACAGGAATAGGGACTATCTGATGAAGGTCCCTGTCTGGCCATTGAGGGAAGGCAGCAAGTACAACCACAGCCAATTCTAGGTGGAGTCATGCTCAGGACTTGCTAACGTTGCCCCCTCCTCCCCACACTCCCTACTGCTTATGGGGTGAAGGACCCTGAATAGGATCAGAATCTTTTTATAGGGGAACAGGAGCTATATGAGAGTCTATATTATGCTCTGGGATAGATCACCAGAGGACTCCAGAGGGCTCAAACCTTCCTCCAGGAGCCATCTTTCCTATGGATTTAACCATTCTGGCTCTCTCCCAGAATTGTCTTTAAAAAAAAATTTCCTTAGATAAAGTGAAAACCCATTAAACTCAGCCATCAATAGCTTAGTATGAATTAACTCATCAGAGATAAAACTGGGAGGCAGATAGCCAGATTCAGAAAAAGAGAGAAACCAAGAATGACATTTACAAATATGCAAATTTCCCTGGGATAAATTAATCTATGAAACTAGGCAGCCTCTAATATCTTAGTTAGGAAACCAATCTGTCAGCATTTGGAGGGAGAGAGCGGGAAGAAGGAAATGCTACACTTGCAGCTAGGAGAAAGGCTGGAAAAGTAAAATGATAGCATAGCTAGAGAGGGCTTGCTTGGGTTAAAACTTTGAGCTGGGCTGGGTTTTCACCCTTGCTTTACAAATGAAGAGAAAGCCCCCAGGGGGTTAAGTGACTAGCCACGGGGCCCCTCTCCCCCATCCCCACTGCTAATGAGTTAGATAAATAGTTCAGACCTCTGTCTTTTCCTGTGGTTGCATATTGCTTGGGGCTGGCTGTTCTTCTCTGTACTGGGGACTGGACTCACTCTGGCCTGGTAGGCCCCTTCTGAGCCATGGAAGTGGGCATTCTGTGTCAGAAGTGACAGGGCATGGAGCTTCATCTCCTCCATGGTTTCTTAGTCTCTCTTAGAGGTGGGGCCACAAGCTACCAATCTACAGAATCGGTACCTTTAGTTCAAAGTCATTTACAAACCCAGTGTCATGAACTCTCAGGTAGAAGGTGCCAAAACAACCCCATTAGGCAACTGGAAAAAGGGACCAGGAAAGACCCATGATGTCATCATTACAGAGGCCACTGTCAGAGTGTGTTCATTATGTGCTCAATGTGCACAGGGCCAGCCAGGGTGGGGCTGGAGGACAAACCCACCCTTCCCTTGAGCCAGGAGGTCCCTGAACTTTTCCTTTAGTGATTTAAAGCCCAGGAAATTGTTGGAGGACATTTTTGTATGTAACTGGGCATTTCTTGTTTAGCAAAGTAGATTAGTTAAAAGTCACTTTAGAAAAAAACAAAGTTCGAGAATGCAGGGGAAAAACAAGTTCCTCTCTGAAAACTTTACAAATTGGGAAATGATGAACTTGTTTGAATTTGATCAAGTATCTCTTTGATATGTAGCTATGTGACCAAAACCAAAAGAGGGAATGGAAGAGAAGAAAAGCCATGGGAGCCATTGTAGGAAGCCCCTCCTGCTTTGGTCCCATGGGCTGACTAGAATTATGTAGCCATAGACACCCAATACCAATGGTCTGAGGTCATCTTCTCCCAGGAAGTGGAGAAACTGAAGGTGGGAGCAGAGCTAATGCCCTTGGAGAGCCAAATGTGAGCTCAGGGATTTCAAACCTTTTCTTTCCTTAATTAAACCTTGCCTCTTCTGAGATAAGTATCATTTTGAGAAGCCTAAATCATCTGTGGAGGTTTGCAGCCTCTTTGAGCTCAGATATTAGATCTGAGGTCCCAAATCCAGTGGGATCTGGACCCAGTAAGTTGTATAGAGATGCCCTAAATAAAGGCAGATCCAAATAAGCTTTTGGAGCCAACAGAACAGAGGAGGAAACATGGCAATCTGATTCCTGATTAAGAATCATGATTAGGGCTTTTCTTTCTTTCCAGCAATGAATCTTTATAAATTGGGATACAAAGGGAGACAAATGCATCCCCAATCATGATGATCTCTGACAAAGTTTCTAATGCCATTGTTCAGCAGAGGAAGCGCAGCGCTTTCACTGGTTCAAAAAGTTATACCCAAATTCCTAGAGACCTAGGAGCCATTTGAGGTGCCCTAGAGACAGAGGAAGGAAGGCTGAAGACAAGCCTACACCTAGCCTGGGATGGGGGGGGGTCTGTTGCCATGGAGAAGGGAGACAGGATGCTGAGTCCAGCCAATGCAAAGCAGATGGGCTGCTTGCAGGGGCTGCACATGCCAAGCCTCTGTAAAAGCCTTCTCAGGCAAAGTCAACACCAACCCCCAGCAAATCATGCAGCACTGACCAAATCACAAGGCCATTAGGAGGACAGGTAGAAAACTGCCCACAAGGACATTTTAGATTTGTTATGTGAGAACACTCAGCTTCCCAGAGCCAGGTCTTGTGTGACTGACTGGTGTGTGTGTGTGTGTGTGTGTGTGTGTGTGTGTGTGTGTGTGTGTGTGTGTGTGTGTGTGTGTGTGTAAGTATGGATGGATGGATGTGTCCTACAAACTGCATAATATATATTTATCTTCTGGAGAGAAATTAGAAGGGTGTTTGTGTACTGGGGGGAGAAAGGGTCATGGATTAAATGAAAAATGGTATTTTTTGGTCAGTTGAGGCAAGTGAAAGGTAGTATTGATTCAGTATATAGGAACAGAGTGATTCAATTTTTTAAAAAAATATTTGATATCTACTACCAAATCAAGTTATGAAATAAGTGACTTAGCATTTTGTATTGTTTTGATTTTTTTTTTAGGCATCAAATGGTTCCTCTGTCCAGATTTTATTGTTAAACCAGAGACTCTGTCTTGTTCTTTCCATAAACTAGGAACAGCCGGTTTTTCCTGACTGTCTTACAGGCATGCCACTGGCCAATTGAATCCAGACAGACAGGAAACATTTTTACTTGGAAAGTCCTTCCCCCACCTCCCCACACTTTCCACTGTAAAATTAATGTTGACAAAGGCTGAGGATTTTTTTTCCTGGCAGGTACTGATCCTGGGGCTTGATCTCAGGGTCTGAGTACTGTCCCTGAGCATTTTGGCTTACTGCTAATGCTCTACCAGTAGTCACAACTCCTCTTCTGGCTTTTTGGAGATATGAGTCTCATGGGTTTTGGACTTTTCTGCCCAGGCTGGCTTCAAACTGAATGATGATCCTCAAATCATTCCGATCACTCAAGAGGATCCTCTGAACCATGATCTTCCAGATCATTCAAGGGGATCTCAGCCTCCTGAGTAGTCAGGATGACAGGTGTGAACCACTAGCCCTGGGCTAAGGCTGAGCAATTTTATCAACAGCAGTTAGCTGCCATGGAAAGTGTGTTTGCTGGAATCCATTCTCAAGTGGCGATTTCCCCATGCACCAGTTTTTAAGCCAATTTGGTTTAAAGGTGACTAATTCTCAAAAACACTTACTAGTATGTTTTCTCAGTCTGTTGTGTTTTTTTTTTCAGTCTCTGTCTGCAATTCAGAAGGTTCTGAGTGCAGTCCATAGACTTCTTACCAATAAAGGAGAAGCAGGAGGACCCCAACTTGCCTTCTCTGTGCAGAGGCCCCTCTGCTTCTGACCCACAGGGATGAACCTCAAGGAGGGAGCGCTTTGCAATCCCCTCTCCCATGACCTTCACGGTAGGGGCCCCATTCAACAAATACTAAAGTCACCCTAGAGAGCTCCCAGGTTGCCCTGGGCTTGACTTACGTTTCAGGATGTTCCTCTGCTCCAACTCTTCAGCAGTTGGCCTCTGGCTCAGCCGCCTACGAAAAAAATCCAGGAAAAGTTTTTGGACCATATCATATCCTCCTCTGGTGGATAAGCTCTTCGGCTCTTGTAGACGCAAGGGGTAGAGTCAGTGGCCAGAGCTCTTGTTCCATCCTGAGCTCCAAAAGACTGATGACTCCAATGCCTTCTCAGTTCCTCAATCTCAACCCAGGAAGGGCACTGTACGTCACTTCATGCAGAACTGCCCCCACTGCCTTCCTCCCTCCACTCTGCCCCTCCCCAGCCCTGCTTCTCTCCAGGGCCCCAGGCCAGGGGACTGAAACTTAGTTGGATTCTCCTCTTCACAGAAGTCTCTTTCTTTCCTGATGGCCTCTTAACTGCAGGCCTGTGGCCTCTTGCCTTTCTCCCTTGCCTTAAGGCTAGAGCTTGCTTCTTGCCACATTTGTGCACTTAGAACATAGAGGCTCAAGGCCCGAGAGACACAAAAGAGAGCATGTCCTGTCTGCGTAGAACAATGGCTCCTCTTCTTCTTGTTCCCATCCATCATTACCAGATCCTTTTTAGACATGGAATGACAAATGAACAGGGAGAGAAAGGCCACTCCTGTTCCAGGGTGCATAACTCAGCCACAGCAAGTGAGGTCTCATCGCCAGGGTATGAGTGTGTGGGGACACAAAGGGGAGAGGTGGGAGGCAGGTAGTGACAGAACTAGGTAGGAAGGAAATGGAGTGGCATCCTGGAGGAGAACTACAACGTATAGTGGCAACGAGTTCTGGGGAAACAACAACATTCAGAGAACTGATTATAGCAGTGTATTATGTGACTGCTCAGCCAGTGAAAAGCAAGACCATCTAGAATCACTGAAGACAGATAGCTCTCTCCTTTGCTTCATTAGAATGACATCTCCACATCATTAGCCTTGCAGCATCTGACACCATGACAATGAAAGGAAAACCCTATAGAAGGACAGAAGTAGGGACTTAACTCTATTCTGGAAAGAAATCCTGATCCATTCCTAGCATTCCTCACCTTAAGCTCATGAAGAACCTTACTGTCCATTAAAGTATTCCCATAAAATGTGACTCTTGTTGTTTGAATTCAAGGCTTCATATTGGTGGGTTTTGCTTGCTTGTGTGGCCAGTGATCTACCATTTGAGCTCAAGTGCTGGTGGTTATTTCGGAGACAGAGGCTCATGGAATTTTCTGCCTAGGTTGGCTTTGAACCGCCATCTTTCAGATCTCAACCTTCTGAGGAGCTAGGATTATAGGCATGAACTACCAGCAAGGCATGACTGTGATTTGCAAAGTCCCAATCTCTGTTGAGTATGTACTTTCTCTCTGCAATAAAACGTCCATTTTCTTCTTTTGTCACACCTCTAAATTCTTTGATGGCAACAAGAAGCTAGCAACACTGAGTGGAAGTCTCCATCTGGCCTGTTTATGAGACCTCCCAGCCTTTACCCTACAACATCATAGAATGAGACAAAGTTGTCAGAATCAAAATAGAATCACTTCTGTCAATCCCTAACAGTAGTAAATCAATGAGGAAGGCCAAGATTTTATAATGGAGACTTTGCTAGAACCATAGTCTTGCACAAAGGCCATGGTAGCTTTACACACTTACATACACAGACACACACAGACACACACAGACACACACAGACACACACGTGCACATCCGGATTTGATTTCCTTTGTAACAAACCAGTAAATATGTCATTTTTTTTAGCTCTGTGGACCATCATAACAAATTACTTAAATTGATCAAATTAATTAAACCCAAGGAGAAGTTCTTGGGAGCCTCAGATTTACAGCCAGTTAGAGATTATGATCTGGCATGAGACAGAGGAGCAGTGTTGCGGGGCTGACGGAGCGCATACCTGTGGGATATGACAGTATCAGAACAGAACTGAATTATCATTTGTTAAGTTGGGCATGTGTGGAGAAACCTGCTTATCTGGCCACAGGAGTGTGCCATGTTGGGTGTGACTGTAGATAGAAAACTCTTCTTTCCCAATCCCATGAACACATTCTTCATTGCCACTGACACCTTGAGGAGGGCCTTTGCTAGCTATGTTTAGAAAGTTGTAATATGGCTGGCATTCTCACACTGCAGGAGGAAAGTGGATCTAGCCGAGCAAGTTGGTGTCATGGGTCTGGAATGCAATTTACTATGATGTTCTTTCTCACCTGTCCCTTTACTCCTGTTTCTTTTGTAAGGGATGCATAGCGCTTTTTGTGGAATGTTTGCTCACAGCCAGGCTGTCCATCAGTCTAGTCAGTGTTTCTTTTTTGGGGGGAGGGGTAGGCTGTTCAGAACCAGTCCTCCAGATCCAAGAAGAGATTGCATCATGGTGGGCAGGTGCCATGGTCTGGAGTTTTACATCAGGAGGGTTTGAAGGATGTTCTCTTGATGGTTTTTGTTGAGCTGCGTATCTCAATACCACACACATTGCCTGGTGTGTGTTGGCCTTTTTCTTTTTTTAAAAAAAATTAATCTCATAAATTATGTTTGGAGAATGTAAAACAATGAGTGCCATATAGTCTAATATGCAGGATTTCAAATGAGGCTCTCGATTTGTTTTTCATTTCTTCCAAAGGGTCTGAGCACATCAAGATTAGTTAGTGTAGCTAAACCCTCCAGAGAGGCAGGTGTTGAAATTAGATGTTCTGACTTTGACAATGAGATTTCATAGGAAAATGATACACTGGCATTGTCACACAAAGCAACAAATAGCTGTGGAGTTGGGAATTTGGGGACTGGTCCTGGGTTTTCTGGAACAACGTGCTTTGGACAAGGTAAAATCCTGTTAGTTCCATGTCTTTTTCTGCAACTAATGAACAAGCATTTAGTAAGCTAGTGCTGACTCACTGTAATACAGCTGTGTGACTCCAAACACTGCATGTATGTTAATTCATTAAATCTCTATCTCAAGATCCCAAACTTACTCATGGCTGCCACATCTCCCTTGCTGTGTTTAGTGATCTCTTCATGAATTTGGAGGATAGGACATGGATATTTTGAGGGCATGGCATTCTTCCATAGCTACAGCCTCTTCCTAGTCAGAAGGTACAAGCTGACATCTGGGCTTTCACTCTCTCTAGATCTGTCTGGCATACTCAGAGGATACAATGGTTTTGCTGCTGAATGCCCTTGGGTATGTGTGTACACGGCTGTGTGCAGCCCTAGTACTCAGTAGAATGACCCATATGGGTACATTAACATCCAACCTGCTTTCCTCCTCTCCCAGCACTCCTGACCCTCACTAGCCTTCTGAGTTTGAGGCCCCTGGACCACATCATCAAGTCCTAAGAATCCTCCTTTCCCCTCCTTTTTATGTGCTGATCCTGGGGCTTGAATTCAGGGCCTAGGTGCTATCCCTGAGATTCTTTTTCTCTACCACTTGAGCAACGGCACCACTTCCAGGTTTTTCTGAGTAGTTTGTTAAACATAAGAGTCTCAGAGACTTTCCTGCCTTGGCTGGCTTTGAACCACGATTCTTAGATCTCAGCCTCCTGAGTAGCTAGGATTATAGGTATGAGCCACCAACACCCAGCTAAGTTTTGTTTTTATAAGTTAAAAAACAAAACAAAACAAAATCCTGAATTCAAATTGTCCAAAATGGAGTAAGAGTCCTGTCAACAGCCAGACCTAGCTTAGGAAGCCTACAACTTAGTGGTGCAGAGCAGTGACTGAAATGTGCATGTGAAAACTGGGTCATGTTGGGTGCCAATAATCCTTGCTACACAGCCACACAGGAGCTGAGATATGAAAAATCATGGTTCAAAGCCAGCCCAAGCAAGAAACTCTGTGAGACTCCTATCTCCAATTAACCACCAAAAAGCTGGAAGTAGAGCTATGGTTCAAGTGGTAGAGCACTAGTCTTGAACAAAAAGAGCTCAGGGACAGCACCCAGGTCCCGAATCCAAGTCCCCTCAAAACAAACAAACAAGCAAACAAATTGTCTGAACCAGAGACTTCCAAGGAGCTGAAAAATATCCTCAAAACAATGAGTAAGGGCTGGGAAGGTGGTTCAGTGGTAGAGCGCTTGCCTTGCATGCATGAGGCCCTGGGTTCGATTCCTCAGCACCACATAAGCAAAAAGAAAA